GACGGTGATGTCGAGATCTTTCTTAATTGCCGCTGCTGAAAGCCCGCCGTCCGATCTACCACATCGATGAACCATATTTAACTATGATTCCCCAATGATTCTCCAAGAAAGACAAAACAGTAGCGTCCTAAAATGGATTCTCGGTCCAGTATAGAGATGGGGGAGGTCTGATGCTGAAGAAGGGGGGAGTATTTTGCCTCCAAACTTTTCATGAGGTTTGACAAAATTGAGAGAGAATGAGATTTTTTGCCTAAAAATTTTAGATTAAACATATTTAAAAAAATTCCACGAGTAATGAAAATTTTTTGCCTCCAAATTTTTTGTGATGTTCGAGAGGGAATGGAATTTTTTTGTGAAGTTTGGGATATATCAATTTTTAAGGTTTGAGAGGCAATTTTTTATAAAGAATAATTCTTTTTTGGAATAAATTAGAAGGAATTGAAAAATATTTGAAAAAATAAAGTGATAACACTTTATTTTTTCTAAGTTTTACAATTCTCTCTAGTTTCTTTCAACTTCTCCCAATTTATTTCAGTTTCAAACTTTGCAATTCCAACTTTCGATAGATTTAGTGAACAATCATGACTGAGTTAAATGGGATACATTGAGTCATTTGGACAGATACCGTGAGTCTTTCTCCCTAAACTATGATGTGGTGTGTGACATGGATATATATAAGTGATCTGATCTGATTGGATTTGCTTAGATACAATCGTAACTGGTTTGATTTGTTCTAATCGCAACAGATCTAATCTGGTCTAATTGTAGTTATATTTAAAGCGTTTCTGATTTGATGTGGTTTTATCTGTTCTAATGAGATCTAATGTGATTAAATATGACTTGATCTAATCTGATCTGAGAGTAGTTATGTGTAATGGTGTTTCTGATCAAACTAGATCATAACTATTCAAATGAGATATAAATGAACAGTCCAAACTAAAATTAGCGGGATTATTAAATTTTTTTTGAAATGGAATCTTTGCATTTTAAAAACGTTTAAAAAAATAAAAATTTGAAATGAAGAAAGTTATATATGATCTAATCAGATTTGACGAAATCTGATTTGATTACCACAATGCGAAATTCTATTTTGGGAAAAAAACATGAAGGTCCTATTTTAGTACTTTCTCTATGTTTTAGTTCTATTTATAGTGATTTCTTATCTAATATTGTAGTTATATACAAAGTTATTTCTGATCAAACCAAATTAGATATATTTAGCTACAGTCTAATCAAATCATACCAGATTAGATCATCAGATCTAATTATAGTTATATTTAAAACTATTTCTAATCTGATTTGATGAGATTTGATTCTATTATATGATCTAACCTAATCTAATCTTATTGTACTTATACGTAAAGTTATTTATGATTAGATCAAATTAGATATATTTAGATACAATCTAACCAAATCATATCAGATTAGATTTGAAAAAACTTTATACATAATTACCATTATTTTAGATCAGATCTCATCAAACCAGTTCAGACCATATCAAACTGTTTCTAATCTTATCAGATCAGATCTAATCAGTGACTTGGGATATAATGAGTCACCTAGAGAGAGACATATATTGTTGAACAAACATATACTAGTACCGATATGGACAGGTACTGGTGAGTTGACTTATAAGCTACTTAATTATAAGTTAGAAAAAATAAGTATGTTTTAGGGAGAAAGACCAAAGTAGGACTAAAACATTGAAAATATATCAAAATAGGACTTTTATGTTTTTATTTCCCAAATTGGACTTACATTATCAAACATGGTCATATACATTACTAAAAAAGTATAGTAATGTACACATGTACACTGCCACATTACCACAGTGCAAAGTCATATTACCACAGTGCAAAGTCTTATTTTGGGGAAAAAAACATGAAAGTTCTATTTTGGTACTTTTCTCTATGTGTTAGTCCTATTTAGAGTGATTTATATATGTTTTACCTGCTTTTTCAAGCAATTTTTTTGTTTCTCCGTTTCGACGAGATTATT